CTCACGATATCTAAGGAGCTGTTCTGCGTGGCAGGGCAGCCTGGGTCTCCCGTGTGTTTGCCCCGCTGCGTTGGAAAATCCACTTGTTTGGATTTGTGCATCGAGCAGTCTGGTTGGTTGCTCATCTCCATACAATTACCAAGTTGCCGCTGAAGGAGTACTTAGCCTGTGAAGTGGTTACGTTACTGAATGGTTGTCATTAGGGCAGTCCCTTCTTGAATACCAGTGTTGAATTTGCCTGTTGTCTTGAAAGGGTTCGCGTTCGGAAGCCGCGTAAAGATATCCTTAGTCACGTTTGGTTCCCTCCAAGTTTAGTCGACACTACGGGATGGTACGCAATGGTTCGTCGGAGGACGAAGCGTCCAAACGGGAAGAAGCCCGCTCGCGTTCGCGTGACCGCGTAGAGGAGGCGCGTGGCCGTCAAGTCCGCCGCCAGGTTGCGAATCATTTCCGATCCCTTCGACGTCAACAGCCGCGTCCAGTTGACGAATGGCTGCCACAGTGAGGTGGCACCGTGTTTACCACCTCGTACCAAGAACCACCGGGCCATGTATCCTTCCGCCGCGACACCGCAGCGGAAGATGCTGTTCCACGTTCTGGAATTGAGGGCGCCGACCAGTATGACAATGCTGAAACCGCTGGTCCGAAGTTAACGGGTAGTTTCGCAAGCTCTATACGCGATGTGGACATGGGAAGTGATGCGGGTTACGGCCGCGGTCAGGTGTGGAACGCGCCAGCTCTCCCGAAAGCTCGGACCTTCAAGGGTTCGACGAAGGCGGAACGACGTGTTTATATGCGCGAGTACCAGATGTACTTGTCGCAAATTAACGCGATGCAATGTGTCGTTTCGCGTACGTTTGCTATGTCTGTCAGTGCGTGTATGGACCCGTTTTCTAAGCGGCGCATTGTCCTGTTCGATTTGAACAAGGATCACAATGCCGGCACGGAAGCAGAATGGATTGCGTGGTTCAACGCGGCGCTCGAAGAAGAACCCCAAGACTTGGACGTTCTGAAAAAGAGCCTGGCGGCCGCCATCCGATTCGACATGAAGATACTGGGCACTGAGTCTCGTGCCGGTCGGATGCTGGACGACCTCATGCGTGTGCTGGAACAAGACCACCAAGAATGGGTGCTAACGCAGGAGCCCAAAGTTGTGGTCGAAGTCATGACGAAGGCTATCAAGCCAGAAGCCCCAAGACTGCTGTGCAAAAGCAGTTACGTAACGTTACAACTCCAACGAAACAAGGGGTTGAAAAACGATGTTTTTCGTTTTGTGAACTGGCTGCGCCACTTTGCTGCGGGTTTCCAACTCTACGTAGGTGTCGAGGAACTGCAAGCTCCGGTGGCCCCTCTGAAAGGCCATTATCCGAAGGGCGGCTCGAAGAATGGCGCCAGCAGCGGTGGCAGCGTCAGCGGTGGCGGCGATAAAACGGATGAAAAGGGTGTCTCCCCGGCGAAAACGGACGATGGCAAGTCCAAGGAAGATAAACTAGCAAGAAAGAAGATTGGCTGCCTGAAATGTGGAGACACTAGCCATCGCGTCGCGGAGTGTCCAAAGGTGGCGCCTGGCGAGGCGGATCGTCTACTCGAAGCTCAACTCAAGAAGTGGTGTGACGGGATTTCTGTCCTAGGCGACAAGTCCACTCGTCTGCCGACCAATTGTGGCGCTACGGTAGAAGCGCTCGTTCGGTCGAAAACGTCCTCTTGGACACGGGTGCCGACGTAAACGTTGTTACGCACGACGTCGTTGTCGTGTTGGCTGTGAAGGGCGCAAGCGTGACGGTCACGAAGCATGAACGGCTCGGCTGGTCTACCCGTATGGCGTTAAGGCAGAGCCGCTGTGGATGAAGCGAAGCGTCAAATTTTGTGTGGTCGTGCTAGGGACGACGTACCGACCGTTGATGTTACGTGGTCTCCACTGCTGGATCGATGACACGTCGCCGGAGATCGACCTGATCATTAGTCGCCCTGTTATGGAATTGCTCGGATTCTCCGTGGACGCTTTGCTCGCCGGAGCATGACAGAAGAACACCGAGTGGGATGTTTCAGTCAATGACGAGCCACCTGTCCATGGCATGTCTAAACTTCAGCGTATGACGACGTCAAGAGGCGGTGCCGACGAGCCGGTGCTCGCTGACGGCGACGGCATGGAGTGCGCCACGCCTGAAGTCGCGGTTGCTACCGACGAAGAACAGCGCAAAAAGATGCGGGACGAAGTGTTTGCGGTGCTGATGTCAAAGGTCGCCGAAGTGGAGTCATGTGGATTGACCGGCGATGATGTGGAAGGGCTCAAGGCTCTGCTGTCAAAACATGCCGAAGTCTTCCGCGTCGACCTTGGAAACGACCCACCTGTCAAAGTGGAGCCGCTCAAGGTGCGCATCAAGCCGAAATCGAAACCGGTCAAGTGTGGTATGCGGCGTTATCCTCCGGCGCATCTGGCATACATACGCGAGCATATGATGTAGAGGCACTGCTATCGAATGGCATGGTTTACGCCAACAATCTGGCGACATGGGCCGCGGCACCAAGAATCGTGCCAAAAAAGGAGTCGGGGGCTGCGGATGACGATCGACAGTCGTCCGATCAACGCGTGCACTGAGCCGATGCCATGGGTGATGCCCAATTTCGACATTGCCATGGTGTGTCTCGTGGGCAATACGACGTATTTTACCCTCGACTGGACGAAGGGATACTGGCAGTTGCCGCTGCATCCCGAGTCGCAGGAGTATTTCTCCTTTATGACCCCCCTTCGGCGTGTACACGCCGACACGTGTCTTGACGGGCCAGACCGGCGCGGTGGCCTCCTACCAGTCAGTCGTGCCCCTTAAGTTTGGGGACGAATTGTTCCGTGGCCTGCTCGCGTGGCTTGACGACCTCCTCGGATCGTCCAAGAATGTCTCGGAACTGCTAGACCTCTCGACCGAGTGCTGCCCACGTGTGCTCAGTTCGGCTTGAAGCTAAACCCCAAATAGTGACACTTCTTTCTCCGAGAAGCGGAATGGTGCAGTAAAATCATTTCGGCGTCCGGCGTTACGAATTCCCCCAGTCGCACCCAAGACTTCGTCGACCTTTCGCCTCCGACGACTGGTGCCGATCTACAACAGTTTGTCTGCGCCACTAACTGGATGCGTGCCAGTATCCCCAATTACAACAAGCTGGTGGACCCTTTGCGCCGTTTGTTGGACGTGGCCCAAAGCTGGCTGGAAGCTCGAAGAAAACTGCCCTGGCGCGTAGTGCGGTCGGCTGGTCGAGTGATCATGACAAGCGCTTCGACGACATGAAGCAAGCGCTGGTGAATGTTGTACTGTTGGCGCACCCACGGGAAGACATGGAATTTGTGTTTTCACGGACGTAAGCGATATGTTTTGGGGTGCGTTCGCCACTCAAGTTCCTGTGGAAGACCTGTCCTTGCCTCTCGAAGACCAACGGCATCAACCGCTCGCGTTTATCAGTGGCACATTTGCAGGCGCCAGTGCTAGATGGCCGATTGTCGAGAAAGAGGCCTACGCCGTCGTGGAGTCGTGCAAGCACCTTGACTACCTGATCGTCCGTCCAGGTGCATTCCGTTTGTTCACGGAACACCGCAATCTGGTGTACATGTTCAATCCGTCGGATTCGAAGGGCAATCTCGCAAAGTACCACGCCGACAAGCTTGAGCGTTGGGCGTTGATCATGTCCACTTTCCCGTGCACGATTGAGTGTCTCCCGAGCGACGTGAATGTGAGGGGATATTTACTGAGTCGATGGGGCTCTACTCTACCAGCTCCGCCGGTGTCGCATGTTCGTAAACTCGTGCACGTGGTGTCTCCGTTGCAACGAGCGGATATCGAATGGCCTACGGCGGCCTCGATTTTGGCTGCCCAGACATCTGCCATTGAAGGGGGGAAGAGTACACCGACCGGCGTTGTGTGGAACGAAGAAGAATCCTTTCACATGGACGAAAAGGGTCGAATTTGGATCCCAGACAGTGCAGTGGACCTGCAACAGCGGTTGTGCGTCATTGCCCATCAAGGCCCTGCTGGCCATCGTCGAATCGCCGCGACAACTCAGACTGTGTCCGACAAGTTCGTGTGGAAGTCCCTGGCTCAAGATGTTGACACGTTTGTCCGGGCTTGTCTACAGTGCCTGCAAGTCGACGGTGACATGGAACCCCGTCCGTTGGGATCAGCATTGCACGCTCAAAAACCCAATGAGTTGATCCACTTTGACTGGTTGACGATGCCGAAGTCGAAGAACGGGACCGCATTCGTACTGGTTAACTAGGATGACATGAGCGGATTTGTCCACCTGCATGCCTCCGAAACTGCCGACGTGAGTGCGACGGCAAACAGCGTTAATGTCCTGGTTCACGTTGTATGGATGCGTCGACACTTGGGTCACCGACGGCGGTTCACACTTCAAAAACGAAGTCATCGAGAAGATTCGTAAAATGGTCGGTGCGCACCACCACATTACGACGGCTTACAGCCCCTGGACCAATGGCACAATTGAAGTCATCATCCACCTCGTGTTCCGTGCGGTCACGGCGTTGTTGAACGATATGTAGCTGCGTGTCGACGATTGGCCGCTGGTACTTTCTCTTGTGCAA